TACTCTTAACTCACAGAGTTGGTATATAATAAACTGATTGAAGAGGACCAGTACAGCTTGAAAAATTGTTGTTGTTTTGTTTTTTAGGAGTGGTAAAAAGTACTTAAAAAAAAGCTGCCTTTATGCAAATGGACAGCTTGTTTAGTATAAATTTGGCAGATTTCTTAAAATTGCAGCCATCCTCTCTCTTTCTAGCAGAAATACTTGCATACAGAGATACATGCAGTGCTCACTCTAACTAGGAGCACAAAGTGGCCTCTACTACATTTATATATAATTATTTTGCACATTTTGACTATGGCATATGTCTGCATTTATCCCATCTCCATCTTAACAGGTGGGCAAATCTGAACAAAACGTTGTGTGATGTCACACACACAACAATTATTCACAAATAGATGGAGAGCGAGAGAGATTTTAGAGATTTGTTATAAATCCATTTATTTTTCCTTTTGTACATACTATGTTTATTTCATCATTTCCTTGCACATGCAAAGCCACTAATACATCATGCATTCATCTTCCTCAATATCTTGTCTTTTATTTCAGTCTTTTTGGCATGTGATTTAATGAACTGTCTGAAATTGGATTAAAATGGTCTTTTTATTGTTGTGCCTCATTATTGTGTTGTTTTTAACTGTTAGAATTATGAATATTGCATGTATGTCTGAATTATCGTTCTCTGTTTTAAATGTATTTCGAAAATAATTCTTTTTAAACTCTAAATTTTCATGACAGAAAAGAACATAAATTATGGAGTTGCTCATAACTCTCATAGTCTGTATATAATTAAGTTAAAAGGACCAGTTCAGCTAGGAAAAACAATGCCATCTATTAGTTGTGGAGAAACATACCTCCATCCACATTTAAATAAAGCCATAGAGCACATTTTCAAAAATACTGACGTGAAAGTCACAAATCTCTCCTTGAATTGAATATTTATGGTTTTAAGTACATTTGTTTCAATTTTTTATTTCACTTTTTACTCTTAAAGATAAGGTCATTACAGAGCACCAGCTTGGAGAAACATACCTCCACAAGCATTTATGATGCAGGACACAAGCTGATAGAACGCAGCAAAAAATTTACCAAGTTTATGAGGTCAATGCATGAAAAAGATTATACCACTGTTTTTAGACGTCTTTAATTTAGGAATAGTCTGATGTAAAAGTCGCAAATGCATTGCCATAGCCCCAAAAGCAATTACATAATCTTTGACAATACAATAAAATCTAAAATAAAACCAATAAAGTTGTTCCCTAATACTTTAAGTGTCGCTGGAGTCTTCATGTCATCAGATCTTTGTCTTCTTCATGCACCTTGGAATTAGGTGAAGTTGTGCCAGAAAAATTTGTTGTATATCTACATAACAGTTTCCCAAATGTTCCTCACAGTAAGAACGACAGTTTCATTAACAAAAGTACTGTTTTAGTACATGGTATTAGCAGAAAGTTGGTGCCTGTGTATCGGTACTGGAAAAAGTACCCTAATTACAACAAAGTGAGCCTACGTCAGATGCATTCAAAGGTGTTTATATGGAGCATTTTTATTCTGTTTGGGCTTTTAATCCCATTAAAGTCTGAAAATTAGAGTCCAGGTAAACATGCATATAAAGAGGAAAAATTACAGGTAGAAATGCTCTTACCCATTATTTAGATGAGATATCTGTGCATTCAAAGAACTACTTGTTGTCTTTTTTTCCCCCTTAATTAAGAAAAAACGTTGAGAGGGTTTTCAGATGCAGTTTTTGAGAGTTTTTTCACAGCGAAACATGAAAGTGTCACAAAAAGAGACTTATTTGTTGATGTACAAAGACACAAATTATAGGGATTTTTTGTGGTAGGTCGCACAACTTTATAAGCAATGTATTTCAATAGATGGTATATTTCGTGTTTGCATTGTGTTTGTATGGTATTATTTCTAAACTTGTACAGTAGCTTTTAGTACCTAAACCAAGGGCTGTGCGATATGACCAAAATCTCATATCCTGATATAAGACATCTATCGTCCCGATGACGATATAAATCACAAAAATTTAACATTTTTTTTTGTAAATTCTGTGAATCTCGGGCAGCTCGACTTACGTGGAGTGTTTCCAGCTGGGCGTCGTGTACCTGGAGTCGAGTGTTTTAACCGATGCATGAAACTATACATTTTTAGACATAAGTTGTAACGGCCGCCGTTTTCTTTGTGAGTATTTATTACACAGTGTGCTGCGGGGAAAAGCCTGTTCTAACGTTTGAGTCTAAGGTTTATTTTTTAGCACCTGACGGCTCTTTTTTGCTTCTCATCTGAAAATACTCTGCATACTCTTGCATGTGATTCAGTTTATTTTGAAAAGTCTCAACAGGATCTTGAGCTTTATTGTGAAGGGTTTATGTGGAAAATAAACAAGCGGACACGTGATGCAATGGTTTTACTGTCGTTGTTGCTAACATCAACGCATAAATACAGGCGCTTGTCCGTCCCTAGTGTGGTTATATTAAATAAAAGAGAAAGAGAGAACTTTAAGAAATTAATATAGCCACTACATTGACCATCAAAACGATTAAAAAAAAAAATTGCTGTAAACAGTTTATTTTGCGACACCACAAAATAAACGATAGCGTAAAATTAAACGATAGACGTTTTTATATCGTCATCCGGTATATATCGTTATATCGAACAGCCCTACCTAAACCTATACCTGAGTATTGTGAAAATCTTCAGCCACCCCTTATTTCTTTATATTTTGCTTCAGATGAGCCAGACTTTGCTATTTTTTAAAGCTTGAACAATAGTTCTCCAGGCTTTCTGGAGGTCTCCCAAAGTTTTTCTTTGGGCATTTAATGGTTTTTTTTACCCCACTGGGGTTCAGTCCAGTCATAGTTTTTCCTTATTTATTTAGTCGAATCTATGAAAAATGCCAACAATAACACAAACTGACAGGTTCAAAAAGTAACAAACTGATTCCCAAAGAGCTATTAGCTGGTTTGTCTCAGCATGGTGTGCAACATGTCCTTAAAAAAAAATCTGAGGAAACTGAACAAGTAGAGGACACAAGAAGACTTGGAAGGCCTACAGCAGATGAACAGTAGATTAAAGTCATTTTCTTATGCAAAATCACAAAAGGGCTGCCTGGAAAATCAGTTGTAACGGGTCTTACGGAGTGATGAATCCAAATTTGACATTTTTGTTTCAAATTGTTGCCAGTATGTAAAGAGAGGTACAACTGTGAGTGGTTCTATCATGGTTTGGGACTAGATTTCAGCCACTGATGTGGGAAATCTTGTCGAAACTGTTGGTAAAACAAGTATGAATGCAGAGAAGTCTGATTTTGATGCACTAATGATCCCAAAAACACTACCAGTGCACTAAAAGAAAACAAAATGCTACACTGTCAGTCATGGATTGGCCTCCCCAGAGCCCGGACCTCATAATAACTAAGAACAGAACCAAAGGCATCCAACATCCAAAGAAAAGCTTTGAATGTCCTTCAAGAATCCTGGAGAACTATTCCAGAAGACTACTTAAAGAAATGACAAGAACGCTACCTAAGAGAGTTCAGACTGTGTTGAAGAGTAAAGGTGGTCACACCAGATATTGACATTCAAGCCCAGCAGAACTGTACAGAACTGTACAGGTCCATTTTTATATACTGCATCTTCATTTATGTTTGCACACATTTCCCATTTCCTAGAAAAGTATACAGAAATGAGGGGCCGCTAAAGACTTTTCTATTGCCTTTCACCTTTTTAAAGTGGAAAACATTAATCTGCCGTACACCGACACAAATCAGTACATGAGTACAGTACATGAAACACTAATCAATAGATTAAAGGTTGCAACTAATTCATAAACTGCTGCGAGACTGCGCTGAAGATGTTCAATATGAAGGTTTTTTTGTGAATTTCCATCTATATTTACAGCTGTCCAGTTTCATGAAAGTGAAGAGCTACCAGCACAAAGCACCTATTTGCTAAGCATAAACCTGCAACATCACAAAGGTTAGACACGCTGTCCTGACCCATAAGATATCCACCGCTGGCTAGATTAAACCCATTAATTCTCAGCACAGCACTTAAATCTTGCTGTAGCTCCTGCCTGCTGGATTTGGCTAAGGAAAGCTTCGGGGATAAATGAGCCATATTGTCCTGCAGCAGCCTTCAAAGTTGACAGCCACATAGCCTGAATGACAAGACTTTTTTTTACCCACCCGAAGCCGGAGGAAGATGACAACCGCTTGTGTACACAACCAAAACAACCTAAACGTTAGATAATAGCCAATTAGCCTGGTGGACATTAGCTGGGGCTGCTCATCAACTGAGCCAAATGTTGGTTTAATAACCATTAGCTCGGGCTCCATCGTGTGAGGGGCCTCCGCATTAAGAGGGGACCGTGTCAACAAGCGGGATCAGTCCTGTCTGACTGCCTTTTTGATGCACTGTATATGAACTAGCTGAACTAGCTGGGGGGTTAGCCTGCCAAGCGTCAGCTGTCTAGCTGCCGTTAGCTTAGCTAGCTTGTTGTAACGAAAATGAATTAGGACGAGCTCGGCTACGCTAATAACGTTTCAGCATTTAATTGGAACCGCGGAGCTGGGTTCGTGCATGCCGGGGACCAGCAGGCCCGGGGTTCCGACTTCAAATTGTCGAAGTAAAAAAGAAAAGAGAGAGAGAAGAAGCAGCTAGGCCCGGTCGTTGAGGTTTCGAGCCAAAGGGGGAGGGGGGCAGGCAAGGCCAGGGGTAAGGCCGAGTTAGCACGGGTTAGCTTAGCATGCTAGCTAACAGCCGTGCAAGCCCGTTGCGTTTGCAGAGGGGAGAGCGAAGAAGAAGAAGGGAGAGAGAGGGAGAGAGAGAGACGCTTTTCAGGCACTAACGTTTCTGTCTGCGTCAAATCAAACCGTAAACTGTCCGTTCTTACCCGGGCATCCCGGCGAATGCGTACCGGAGCCGAAACAGCGAAACGGGCGAGCAACAGTGCGTCTGCAAGCTTAGGAAAAATAAGAATAAGCAGCCTACCCATTAGTTCTCTGCCTCTGCTGGTTCTCCTACACTGGGATATTGGAAATGATGGAGAGCTGCACTGCGCATGCGCCGAGCTCAACCAGCCAGCAGATGGGAGAGGTGATGCACGTTTCCTCACATACACGAACTCTGCATGGCCAAAAGGGGAAAAAAGAAAGGGGAAAAAGTTAGGGGTAACCTGGATGTGAGGGTTGGGATGGGGCCTCATACTGAGTCACAGCCTGAACCGGCGGGTCCCATTTTGAGGCCTGAGGGGCCTCCAGGGACCCCTGAGGCAGAATTGGCTGCAAAACTATTTGATCCCTTTTTCCACATATTTGACTTTAATCCTGGGAGATATAGAACTGGTTTTATTTTTTATTATTTTATTTTTTATAATTTTTCTTCCTAAAGACTATGGAAACGTTTCACAGTACATTACGAATGTACTGTGGGTCATTGAGGTCATCCTATATACACTCATACACTCATGTATATACTCATCCACCAAAAATAAATACAAAACAAAAAATATACTGATCATTTGCTGCCAATATATTATCATTTTTTATATAATGTAAGTTTCTGTAAAAAAGGTAAAATTAAATAAATTCATTGTGTGGTTAAAAATACAGAAAGACACATAAAAAAATATACTAAAAGTTACTTCATTATTGTGTCATTTTCCCAATTTTTTAAGCTTTCTTCTGCCAGTAAAAGAGTGAATATTTTTTGCCATCCAAAAGCCTCGAAATTTCAAGGTGATAACTCAAAATTTTGATTTATGTTATTCAAAAATTTCAGCTAATAACTTAAAATTCCAAGATAACATATCTTAAAAACCTTTGGTTACTTCTGAGTAAGTTGAAATTTTGAAATAATCCGTCAGTAATGTGACATTTTAAAATACCTAATGTGAAATTTGGGGTTCATAATGCAAGTATTCACATTATATATGTCAAAAATTTGGTCTGAATAAATCAAAATCTCAAGATTTTTATTTTAACATTAAGACATAATAAATCAAAATTACAAACTGAAAAGTAATCTAACAACTTTACTCAAATCAACGTAAAATTTAGATTTATGTATCTCAAAATTTCACGTCTCGAGTTATGCATCTCAAAATTTCAAGCTTGAAATAACTTGAAATTTCAAGATACCTCTGTGTTTTGAGATACTCACTAACAACTTATGAAAACTTTGTGAAATTCTGAGTTAGGTATCTCGAAATTTGGAGTTACTCAGAAGTAACTCAAAGTTTCAAGATGGTCAGTAATTTAAGAGTTTCAAACTTAAACCAAAGCCTTACAAGGGCAGGAAACAACCTTCCATACTAAACAACTCCCTGCTTTCACTTTCATTCTGTTGGATTTGAGATGCATTGTGGGTTTTTTTTTTTTCATTTTCCAACTGTATTTTGAATAGATTGTTGCTTTTATTTGGAGACTGACAAAAAGACTATTAATTTCTCTTATTATTATTTATTATTAACAATTTTGCTTCCCTTTTTTAAATCCTTTGGAGTTTGTTTTTGTCTTCCCACATGATTTTCATGGTTTTTGGTCACTATGTTTTGTGCTTCTTTCATTTTTTCCTCACTGCCTCAGTATCTTTCCATACTAATATACTTTTTTACACTATAGATCACTGGAATTAGATAAAGCCTTTAACCTAAAGACCTCATGGAAATCACACACACAAGTATTTCTGCTTGCTGTTCAATAAAAAAAAGTACATAAATTTGTTTTATATCATTTCTTGTTATTACAGTTTGGACCACAGACACTGTTCATTTCAATGTTTAATAAAAATTTATTTAAATAAATATGAAGTGGAAAAAGCTTTTAATCACAAGGTTTTGTTTTCCCAAAAATGGAACATTGTACATGTATTCGATTATTATGTATTTGACAGTTGTAATTGTTACTTTAATGTGCATAGCAAAGTCATAAAATCAAATCAAATTGATGATTATTGAATATTAATTAATAAAACTAGTAATATATGTTGACTACAGTGACACTACATCTCATAGTTTCAAAGTTATAAGGCTTTTAGTCCATTTTCCACCAATACATCATTGAGTTGACCTTGAAGACCTTGGTGGATGTAAGCCAAATTTGAATGGATTGTTAACATGACCCCACTCTACACTCATACAAAGTTCTATCAGAATTCATTCACAACTTTTGAAGTTATTGTGTTTACAGACAGGATGGAGGTATGCACACACACAAATCCTACTAAAAACATAACCTTCTTGGTAACAAAATACATCAGATTTTTTTTTTTTTACAAATAAATAATGTTGAATTTACTTGCAGAAAAATGACTTAGAGGCAACTTGTTAGTAATTACGGAAGCGTAGAGCTGCCACCCAGGCAAAAGAAAAATACAAGTGTATCACGTTATAACGTGAAAAGTTTATTGTTCTAACAAGATACTTTTCCTGTTTGTACAATATACTATCATGTTTGTACAATATATGATCACGTTCGTACAATATAATATTTATATTGTACAAACGTGATAATTATGTATATTGTAATAACGTGATATTATGTTGTTCAAACATTAAAAGTATATTGTACAAACAGGAAAAGTATCTTGTTAGAACAATAAGTAATAACACTGTTTTGACTGTGGCATGATTATATTAAGTACTAAAACGAACCTTAACAATTAGTTATATAAATTTCAGATACAGCTTTCACTCTTTCTGTCAGTTTGAACCTATTCACAACACAAACACCCCAACGAGGTTTTCATGGAGATGTTTACTGGGTATCAAGATGTCAAGTCAGCTGACTTTGCAAAGCAAAACTGAAACTACTAAAAATTCAACTAAAACTAGACAATTTTAAACAATAATCAATATGTCAACCAAGACAAGACACTTGTTATAACCAAGGAAGGCTGCCATGGCAGTGCAGTCATCAGCACTGTCACCTCACAAGAGGCTCCCAGGTTGGATTCATCCAGTGGACTGGATGCAAACTCCTTTCTTCAAAGTCCAAAAACATGTATGGGGTTAGGTTAGTTGTTTAAGTCTAATTAATTGACTTTAAGCGAGGATTGACAGGCTGCACTTTGTCTTTGACGGAAGATGGGTAGGCTGTGGTCATTTCTGATGAGCTGTAACCTCAGTTTCCTGTTCTTAGCAGTGTCACCTGCTATGATCTTCTGCTGCCGTAGACCATCTGCATCAACATTCAGTATGTTGCCTGTTCAGAGATGCTCTTCTGTATACTTTGATTACATCTGGCTCACATCACAAACAATAGAAATGAACACAGTGATCTTTAAGTTCTCCTGACTTAATCTGCAAAATAGTTTGAGTTCATGCCAAATAATCACTTTGATTAATTCTAAAAGTTAGAAAAAAGTGACAGGAAATTAATTTAGTACAACTGTTGTTTTCCTTTTTGGGGGCTAGGGGGAAGGGGTCATTGTTGCAGAAGGTAAGCTAACATAAATACCTCTTACAGAAGTTTTAACTTTTGTAACGTTATCATTACCATGTCTTACTTTGTCGAAAAATAAAAGGTGGTCTTTACATATTAAGCATAATGTACTAAAATGATCAGAAGCCAGTGGCTACATATTGAAACTCAGAATATGTGGACTCACAGGGTTAGAAAAAAAGTCACCACCTAATTAAAAACAATCCCGTTACCAGTTATTTTGCTAATACCTTACAGGTATTTTGTTAAATATTGTCTATGATGTGTAATTTGATAAGTGTTTAACACCATAAGCTACAAACTGCAATGATAATGATTAATTACAAGAACATCTTTTAGCAGAAACTAAACTATTCATATTTATGAACAAGATGACACTGATTAAGGTTAATTTTGACTGGCTGCGTGCAAAGAAAATCAAAAAATACAACACAAAGTGGCAGTGGAGCAAAAACAGACACTCAGCAAAATAATTTCCTGAGATAAATAAAGGTCATAAAAGCTGAAGAAAACATGAGCTCAGCCGTCTGAAGCAAGGACGAGATGCAGCTCAGGGTGCAAACCCCTGAATTTTGTGTGAAGGTCAAACCCGAGGAGACGTTAAATGAATTCAGTGTAGGGCTGCTGAAGGAAGGAGCGCTTCATGTATTTTTAAGGGCAAACACAGAGGGCTGAATGTGCGAGCGGAGGGTCGTATTTTAGAATAATGTGACAGGCTAAATGTGAGCGGAGAGAGGGAGACGATTTGCGAGATATCTGGCGGTTTGCTGTCTTTCTTTTTCCTTTTCATCAGTCAACCAAAAAGCCGCAGGAAGCGTTTAAGTGTCTCCAGAGCTTCAGTGAGTAAAAGATGCTGTTATGAAGGCGGCCTTTTAGACATATACATGAGCCATCCCTCCTAATTTTATCAAACCAGAGCAGAAGTGGCTGTTATAGTTTCACAAATAAATACATATAATAACACATAATTGTAGTCTTTCTCAGTGCCGACAGACTATTTCTTATATATCTTACTATAACACATAAAATCTGTCTGTGTGTTCATTTATTTGTCCACCAACTCCTCCTACATGATCACAAGCAGCACAACCAAACTTGGCACACAAGTATGTCTTAGGCTCCTGAAGGTTCTTATCTATGTCAAATGTTATGATGCCATCATGTTGCCTAGCAACCACCTATAACAACTGGCCAAAATGACTTGTTTTTAGCATTTATGCTGATGAAAATCTCTTAAGAGCATCCTGCTATTTTAATTTCACAAAAATAACATAAAAAGTAATCTAGAAAACTTAAATTGTGAATGATATATATAATATAATATCATATTGTTTTCATTTCATAGCCAGTAAATGCTGTAGAACGGAAATGCGCAGGATCAAATTCAACAATAAAATGTATATAAAATTCAACAAATAAAATCATATTCATGTAAAATTCGTGAAAAGCATAAAAAGACACATTTTTTTAAACTCTTGCCCTCAAGACAAGGATGTGTCATTTGTTATAATACCAAATTTAAAATATTGTATTTTAAATTGAAATGAAAAATAAAACAATATTTTGTCATTTTAATTTATATATTTTTAAACAAGTTCAAAAGTCTGT